CCAATAAGTAGATGACTATTAGCCCAGTTAATTCTCCTATAATTTCTCTATCTAGTGCCTTATATCCTATTGGAAGAAAACTTTATTTATTAACTACATTAGAATTCACTACATAAGTAAGAAAAATAATTATTACCAATGTAATAATTTTTACATCTATCACCTAAGATGGTGAGTGCTTCCACAACATTTACCAACGAGCATCTGTTGAGTGCCTACCAAATGCTGGGTTATGCTAAGCACTAAGATTACGATGATGAACAAGGCCTGCCTTCACAAACTCACAATCCAGGGAAGGCTGGAGGAAAATAGAATATGTTCGAGAAAAAAAGGTAACTAATTAAACACATGTACTTTTTAAAAAATCCTTCCTTGGGTCATTTGTCAGATTTGGATTTATACATGTGGGCGAATTACAGATAGCTCAATAGCTTCACTCCAGATTGAGGTGAAGAGTCAACACAGAGCGGTTGGTTATATCTTATCGCCAAGTGGCTGGTGTCTCAGACATGCGACCTCAGCCTCCCTGCCCACAGCATTCTCTCCAGACCCTAAGGCATCCCTTTCAATACATGGCCCATAGAATCATAATGCAGAATCTCCTAAGCTGTAATATTTTAGTCACATATCACACTCACCCCCCAGAAACTTATTTTCCACTTCCCATTACCAAAAGTTCCCTTATAACCTCTTGTAATAACACAAGCAGCAGCCTCACTTGTAAGGAAGGATATATCTCATTCTAACCCTTAGGTCTTTCTCAACCCTAATTGCACAGGGAGCGCATGATAGAACTATGATTGCTTCTTTCATCCAGCTCTTTAAAAAAGTCTGCCAAATTACACCCAGAGTTTTCATTGTGTGGAAAGAAAGGCATTTTGCTCACGATGTCAATCTCACTCCTAAAGTTTTCCTGGGAGATGCCTCGCGCCTTGGATTTCATAGCTTCTGTTTTTTCCCACGCCTCACCTTGTGCTGAGCTCAGAGCCTCTGATCACTACCCGATGAGTGCTGATCAAAGAGCAACCATCCATTCATTGTTTGCGCCGTGTCCACCTTCCACTTTTAGATGTGTCCTGCCTGCCTTAGAAACTCACCTCAAACCCAGCCTTCTCTGAGATTTCATTTGTGATTGAGCCCATTCTCCCAACTTCCTTCTCCAGCACTAACCTGTCACTTCTGCGATACCTAATAATAGTTTTCATAGTTTCAGGGATGTCTTCTGCCTCCAGACATATCAGAGTTGCCTGAGAGCAAGAACAATACTTCGTATGGTTTGTCTTCTCAGCACCCGGCACCAACATCATACACTTGGGAGATGTAGAGCACTTAGCCACCTCATTCAACTACAGAAACCTCTGCCCCAGAGCCACCATTCCCCAGCTCTTACAGACAGAGACTGGTCTTATACTCTCCACTTGGAGTTCAACATTAATGGATGCCTAAATTTCAAATAGAGACCCCAAGGTCACAGAGAGTGAACATATGCAGAGAGCATTCCATCACATGGACTATGTCACAATGAAGTGGATTTACTGCACAACCATCAAAGCTTAAAATTCAGGGTTCTTTGGGTACACAGGTTCCACTCCCAGGGCCCTGGGAGAGGGCTTAGCCATGTGTTCACGTGGTTATATGTTTTTGTAAAATTTTCAAAAGGAAGATATTTTAACTACAACTGTCTCTTTCCATTCAGACTCCCACTACATCTTATCTCCCCTCATGTTGAGAGTTGTTTGAGCGACCACAGACACGTGTGGGGTCTGACTTAAGGGAAATTGTGTGTGTGTTGGGGGGCGCTATTTATATGAGCTATATTTATGTGGCTTGAGGTCACTTTCATGCACAGTTAAGTGAGGATTAGCTGTCCACATGTAAGAATAGCTTTCAGGAATGCTACCTTCGGCGGTGGCAACTCAACCAGACATTGCAACATAGAGGTATCAGGGCAGAAATGGTTTTGTTACACAGATAGTAGAGAGGAAACAAGGTACATGTGCTAGTCTTTGGAGAAGTCTTTCATTCATCAGGCAAGACTGGGTTCTCTCGGAGGGAATTTATTTGATAATGCAACACTGAAAATAATAACTGTGCCATGCACTTTTTTCTTTTCCAGTGGGAGTCAAACAAAAGAGAATGTACCAGAATGCTTATGTTTATATACCACAAACCTGTAACAGTATCACAAGTAATGAGTATGTATGCCTATAACAACCCATAAATGAAAGATATTTTATAGTGGTTTCCTACTGAATTTGACATTGATGTGGAAAATATGTCTTATAAGTAAAAGTTTGTGAAGCTGAAAAAATTGAATCATGATATTAGAGTAGGACTGGATTATCTTTCTATTCCCTCTAGAGAAAATGATATTATAAAACTGTTGTCGTTTGAAGAGAAGATCAA